TATATCTTATGATCATAAATCTATTTAACCGCAGAATGATCTCAAAGTAAACATAGCTGCTGAAGTCTGATTTTGTGGTGGCTGTGCTTTAAATTAAATAATTATTATCTTAATTCAAGTGAAGAAGGATTTTGAAAGTCTGATACTAACTAGTGTTGAGTCCTACTGTAAAGTTAACCGTGACTGCTTTAAATGTTTGAAAAAAAAAAAACAATTATTTTAAAACATTTGTTAAAAATTTTGAAAAGTAATCAAAAAGTATTCAAATGTAATCAGTTACATTACTTTAATAAAGTAACTGAAATAGTTAAACTACTATTACATTTTAAATAGGGTAACTTGTAATCTGTAACCTATTACATTTCCAAAGTAACCTTCCCAACACTGCACACACATACACACACACACTGTTCTGCCATAGACATAACAATCCAACCACAGGATCTGCTCAGACACAGCTCACCTCTGTGTGTGTGAGGTGTTTTGATGAAGAGCTCCTGCACAACATAAGGTATGTGTCTGCACAAGAGAATTATCAAAACTAGATCATTTCATTTTCTGAAGAAAATGTGTGCGGTGCTCACCTGAGCGAACCGCGCTGCCACAATGCTAATATTTGGGGGGTTAATACGCAGTTGCTAGAGTGTTCTGTGCGGTTGCCAGTGCATTGCTATGTGGTTTCTATACTGTTGCTGGGCTTTTTCATCTGGTTTCTAAGTGACTGCTTACTGGCCAAAAGAGTCAATATTCTGGTCTCTAGAGATACGGCTTTAGTTCTTTTTTCAATGTAAGTCTGGGGTTTTTCACCTGTTTTCCAGCACACCTCTCCTCAACAAGACACAAGATTTTAGGAATCATTCATATACAGTATGATTTAAGGCTTTGGGCTTTATTCCTACTCCATAGTCATAAATCAAACCCTATATGAACAATAGTAATAGTGATGCTTGATTTAGCAAACATTGCTAATTAACAGCACAGAAAAGAGAAACGTGTGTGTGTGTATGAGAGAGAGGGGTCCGGATGGGAAAAAGGGTCTTGGAGTTTGGGGAAGGGGGTCTTTTCTACAAACAGAAGGCAGCGGTTTCAAGTTCCACCTCCGGAACAAAGTGCCTGAGAAAACACACACACACACACAAACACACACACACAGAGCTCTATCCTCTTGGCTTTCTGGATTCTAGAGGTTATTAGAGCGCCTCTCACCTCAGCTAAACTCTCTCTGATTTCAAGCATTACTCTCTTCCGGCAGCGAAATTTGTCCATTTTGGCAGTAACGGGACGCAAAGAGATGGAGTGAGATTAGATTCGTAATGTGACAACAGTCATGAGCATTTGGTAACAGATTAATTTATAAAGAAAAACAGGTCCTGTGATTAATAAAATTCTTACTTTTGCCAAAAACTTTTTACATGTTCACAGATAGTCCAAATCTGAAGCAAGGTTACTATAGCTAATTAAACTAAAATTATTTAAATAAAATAAATGTTAACTGAAATGAAATAAAAATCTATAAAAAAAAACTATTTCAGATAGTTGCCAAGGCAACATTTATCATTGTAATTTAGTAGTTGTAACTAAGTAGTAAAATAATTAAACTTTTTTACTAATTTAACTAAAATTAAAATGAAAACAAATTAAATGAAAACAAATATAGGAAAATAAGAAAATAAATAATAAAAAAATGGAAAATATAAAAATGAAAACAGATTCAAAATAGTACTAAAAGCTATAATATTATCTTATATTAAAATAACACTAATTTGAAGTGAACACTACTTTCTTAAATTCATATTCCTGGTCTTTAACTAGTGCACATTATTTAATAATATATTATTAAATAATATTTAAAAAATTAAAATCAATGTATTAAAAAATTATTAAATAATTTTAGAATTATTTAATAATATCAATTAAATTATATAAATGATATTTAATATTATATAATAAATTATATTAAATTAGAACAATACAGTATAATAAACTATAACAATATATAAATTGTTATTGTTCATTTATTATTAATTCACAAGCCAATCTAATTCAGATGCATAAAATTAAGTCACGCACTGTACTTACAGCTAAGTTTTCTGTTTCACTCGGAAATGAATTTTTGTAAAATTCTGATATAACTACATTTTTCATTTTACTTTAAATATGTCTATAAAAACTCTGCTCATTCCTTCCATACAACATTTTTACAGTGAAAAAGTTACTTGCTCCTTTAAATGCCATTTTCTGCTGACATGAAGGCACTACTACTGACAGACAGACATTCCTCTAGTCTTAATGGTGTATTGGGATCATCAAACGGTTTGACCTCAGTTGACCTCCTGACCCTTTAACAGCCACACATCCCATTCAGCGCCTCACTAAGCCCCGCCCACAGCTCTATGAGCACTTTCACTGTAGTGAACACACACACAATGAATCTAAAAGCGTGTGTGTGTGAAGCTAATTAACCAAGATAAAACACAGCACACACAAAGGCACAAGGTTCCTGTAGGACAGATGTACAGGCCTGTTGCCCGGCAACAGATGCTCCGTCTCCATCGACAACTTCTGTCAGCCTCTTCAAGCACCTGTCAATCAAACGGACATTCCAGAGTGTGTGAGCGGACAGAACAACAACTCTCAACTGTGTTCAGCTGAAAATAACCAACAATCTTCCACTGATGTGTCTTTCTTTGACAGGACAGTGCAATCGTATTAAGTCGATTCTCAAAAAACAAGTCTGGCTCATATTTCACCTAAAAACGTTGCTTTTTCTTTTGTATTTTGTTGCATTATTTAAACACATGTCCTGTTATTGTTGTTATTCTCATTGATATTTACTGTCTTGTTATTTTACTATGGATGTTAACCATTCTGCGCATATTTTATTTGTATTTAAATCAGCAGAAATTAAAGGCAGAGCAGGAAATACTACCATGAAGTATAAATATTTTACAATTTAAATAAATATTTTTTCACATGACAGTAATAAGTCATGAAAATAATGTCACTGTGCAAAAACAGGCTTTGTTTTTATTTTATTTAAATTTGATAAATAATTTAAAAAATATAGTAAATAAATTAATTAATTTTTACCACTTTAATTAACAAGATTTGTTGTTTTTTTTTTTTTGCCATTTTATTTATTTATTTATTTCTATGTAGTTTTCACGAAGTTTTAGTTTTTGGTTATTTTAGTACGTAAATCTAAAATAATCTAAAGTACAAAAATGAAATGTTGTAGCTTAAATAAAATAAGCTTATATTATTTTATTATAACATTTTATTTCAGTTAATGTTTATTTCAAGTAATGAAAATAGTTTAGTTTTCCAATAACCCTGCATGAAATACATAACACACATATACTTTTTTTTTGTTTTTTTTAAGTATCCTGACATGGCTTTAACAGGTTTCGTGAGACTCACCCGGTACGTCTCTATGTTCTATAAACCTGCTTTGAATCCGTATTATGTAAAGCACTATACAAATAAACCTGACTGTCAATGAAGGTTCAGTTGTGGTACTCAAACAACAAAACATGATGTTGATTTTTCATCCAAAGCAAAGCTGTGCACATCTAAGTGAATTAAGAAGAGAAATGCAAACAAAATTCTATTAAAACAAACACGGATTGCCATCGCACACTGAGATCTGCCTTCACTCACCACATCACAGCTGTTTCTGATCAATTCATCTCTATGTTATGTCCTTCAAGTCTTCACTGACCAAACACTCAGCCTTCATGAACGACAGGGAAACTACACAAACAGTGCTGAGGATGTAGCTCTTCTCATCACAACAAGCACAACAATCAGTGCTCATGAAATCAATGCTTCATGCATTTATCTCATATATGTATATACACACACGCAAGATCTCTATTTGAATATATATATATTTTTTTTTTCAGCTACATTTTCTGCTAAAATAAGCAGTAATGGCATTAAATAGTTTTTTTTAAGTGAAATAACTGAACATAAACATACACTGTAAAAAAAATTCCGTAAAATTTACGGTAAAAAAACGGCAGCTGTGGCTGCCGGAATTTTACCGTAAAAAATACGGTAGCAACACGGTAGCAACGTTTTAGGTTTTACGGTTTTAACTTAAATTTACAGTTAAATACCGTAATTTCATTAACTGATATAATGTTAATATACCCAAATTTGAAATGTAACGCAGGGAATTCTGGGAATGTCAATTTACGGTTATTCACTGTAAATTATACGGTCTTTTTCACTTCCAAATACGGTATACTACCGTAAAATTAATGTCCAATACATGTAATGTCCAATACAGTTTTTCATGGTATATAGTAGGGGAATTTACCGTTAACCATTTAACAGGTTTTTACTTTTTTACTCTTTTACCGTTAAATTCACAGTAATTTTTTACAGTGTAGTAGCCTGAGAAAAATGCTCATTTTCGAAAAAAAAAATTCAGATGGCACTTAGAGGCTTTTGCATCTGAACTTTTCATATACAGAGGGGCTCAAAAGACATTCTTGTTTCATGTTGCTTCAATTCAACCTCTCACTCAAATTCCAAATCGCTACTAATGAAAAATATTATATTCATTTTTAATATGCAAAACAGAAGCATTTGCATTAATTACTCAGACGTCTGGATATTTACTGTATATATTAAGTATATATTAAGTTGACATGCAACACTGTAACCCAATGGGCGCTCGCGCACATGTGCACTTTCACTTTGATCGCGTCAGTCACGGAAGTTCCCGCGAAACAATCTGTTACAATGTTTCATATATTTAATCCGGATGAAATAAACTCGCGCATGTCACATCAATACCTCAAAAATACAGCTGGAACGTTTAAAAAAAAAATTTGAAATACAAAGCTGATAAATTCTACTAAACGCGTGATAAACAATTGCATTTTTAAAATGATAATAGCCTACATATATGATAAAGTGTCAATACACAAACTCTTGTAGGTGATAATGGTAGTGATGATGATAATGATGATGATGGTGGTGTTCAGTACCTGAGAACTCCTGTGAAGTCTTAGTGAAGCCAGTCAGACACGAGATTCCCAACAACAGCAGTGAATATGAGACATCAGGGAAAAACATCCTTAAATGTCCCATCAGACCCGATGATTCCTGAGAGGATCAGACCGCAGGACATAAAGTGATGTCTGATTCCATGACTTCAGAGACAGAGTCAGAAGAACACCAGAGGAGACCTGAGTGAGAGAGAGAGAGAGAGAGAGAGAGAGAATTCCCCCTGGTCCCAGAGGCCCTGAGTTTCACGCTCAGTTGATGATTTAATTCACTGAATCTTTATCGGTATGATTGTCAATACACTGTAGTGTTAGAGTATCTACAAAGTTCAAATACAAAAAAAATACAAAGTATTTAGATAACACCATAATAACAACAAACACAAAAGTAAAAGATTAAAATCAAAACGCTTAAATCTTAAAGGAACAGTATACCTAAAAAACGTCTATAGACTGTAGAAATAGATTTACTCACCGTCAGAACGTTACAATCCCGTGTGATTTTCTTCAGATTTCTGCTTATTTCTTTAGAAATCAATTAAAGTATTCTAGTACTATTTTTTGGTCAGTTTGATTCAGTTAAGTTTCAGTTTGGGTATTATTTCGTAAACTATAATCTCTCCTCTTAACTATAATTGGACCATTCCCAGAGATCCGGTTCTGCACACATCATGCAGTGTTTAAACCGAACATACAGGTGCTATATTGTCTTTAATGGTGTCAGTGGGGCATTGTATTAATGCACTGTTTAAAGTAATTATTTTACACAATGACAAAAAAACTGCAATCGTACTGAAAGGTGTCATCTGTAGACATCTGCTGGTCAATATGAAGAACTGCAGTAACTCCCCTTCATCAAATAATACGGCATGGATTCATCAGTTCACTGCAGTTTATATTATTTTTTAGGGTAACTGTTTGGTCTTGAGCTGTTAAAATTTTTACTGTTCCATACATTGCTTGTTCCTTATAACTGCTTTACGGTTTAATTTAGCAGAAAAGCCTGCAATGGGGCATGTTGTCACAAAAGGACAACATATGAACTTTATTTCCATGTGCAATAATAGTCTAACAGTCAGTATGTCTAACAGCTTTATTCTTGCAGTCAAGATTTTAAGGTTTGAGGCCATACAGCAACTGACTTTCGAAAATAAGCACCCTGAGAAATATTCACTGCAGTAAAAATGACAAAAACGTTCCTGTAGTCCAAGAACATGGGCTTGAATGAACACTGCATACTACAATACTCACCTGAAGAGCTTGTGGTTTGGTTTAGTCTTCTTGTGATGAGCATTCACACCTTCATTCGTGCAAACAGACCACAGAACCCAGAGCTGCCATCTCGGATGTATTTAATAAATTAAAACAAGGTACAAAAAGAAAACAAAAACCTCATGTACATTTGACTCCTCTGTCTCGGTCTCTCCCTTTGTTCTCACTCTGTGATTCGCTAGTAAACAAACACGATAGAACAGCCCTCGTCCACCGATTACGACACATTCTGGGCCCGTATGTAACGCAACACACATGCTACATGTCGGCAAGCAACTGGGTGGGAAACGAAAAAGAGAGAGAGACATGCAGTATTTGTTTAAAGAGATTGTTTGCCCTAAAATTAAAATTTGATCAATTTACTCAGGCCAACCAAGATGTACATGATTCTTATTTTTCATAAGAACGGATTTGGAGAAATGTAGCATTCCATCACTTGCCCACCAATGGATGTGCTGCAGTGAATGGGTGCCGTCAGAATGAGAGTCCAGACAGCTGATAAAAACATCACAATAATCCACACCAGTCCATCAATTAATGTCTTGTGAAGAGAAACGTTGCATTTTTGTAAGAAACAAATCCGTCATTAAGAGGCTTTAACTTTAAACTGCCACTTCTGCCCATAAGTCCATAATCCTTAATAACGCTTCCTCCAGTGGAAAAGCCCATCTCCTGTTGTCCTCTCACATTAAAATCCACCCACATATTTGCTTAGAACTGATTTTTTTATTTTGTCACTTGTAAATAGTGTTTGATCCGTTCATATTTCTCTCCCGATTCAGATGAGATGACTTTTTCACTGGAGAAACCAATATTACGGCCAGAGGAAACAACAGTTTAAAGTTAAAAATGCCTAAATGATTGATTTGTTCATCACAAACATGCACCTTTTCACTTCATAAGACATTAACTGATGGACTGGAGTGGTGTGGATTACTTGTGGATTATTGTGATGTTTTTATCAGCTCTCATTCTGACGGCACCCATTCACTGCAGAGGATCCATTGGTGAGTAAATGATGCAATGCTACATTTCTCCAAATCTTTTCCTACGAAGAATCAAACTCATCTACATTTTGGATGGCCTGAGAGTGAGTAGAATTTCAGCAAATTTTCAGCAATTTTGGGTGAACTCTTCCTGTAATAACTGTTTCAAAAGCACTTCAAATGTTTACTGGTACCATGATGTGTGTGCATGCACCTACCGACATTAAAAGGACAGTTTAACCAAAAATGAATTTATGCACCATCTCATGTCAATCCAAACCTATACAACTTTATTCCTTCAGTGAAACACAAAGAAGAATTATGAACGTGAGGTTATGCACGTCATGATGGTGGGTAAATGATGACAAATAATGAATCTTAGTGCATCGATCTCTCTCTTATTCGTTGTGTAACACCCGATCTCTACTAGTCACCAAATATATGCTGCTGACCTTCTATATATATCAAAAACAATCATAATAATCATTTAATTAAAAAAACGTCCACAACATTTTGGCAGAATCGAGCGTTAGGGGTTAAACAGACAGAGATATAGAGGATAAGATATAAAGCCACAGAGAAAAATCAGTCTGTATTGGTCCCTCTGTTAGCAGCACACGGACTCGTCACCCCACGGTTTACTAGAATATTATGTGCATTTATATATATTTTAATATATATATATATATATATATATATATATGTGTATATATATGCTTTTTATTTCAGTATCTCCAAAATAAAAATAAAAAACATTTAACTAACACTATTTCTTTGTTCAAACGGATGCAAATTATCACAAGGAAAACAGCCCAAGAGCCACGGAAGATCGAACGTGGGAGAATCAAAGAACGGTTTCCAGCGAACATGCCGTGAGATGCGGGGAGCAGAGATGTCGCCTGTTCGGCTCGCCCTATGGAGGCCCCAAAATCCAATGAGACAGTGGTTGAAAGAGAGAGAGTGAGAAGCACGAGTTAGAGGAAGATCCCGACTCTCAGACGGTCAGTTCTGACACGTGTCATTCGCATCGCAGAGATGGGCTTCTGGGAGGTTTCCTCACACTCTGTGTCCGTACGAGCGGCGGCTCAGTAGTCTGCGGCGTATTCGGTTCCGTGAAGGCCGCGGCACACCAGGGTGAACTCCTTCACAATGTCTTTAACTCGGCGCTTGTTCACTCGCTCCCTGAGAGGAAACAGAAAAATAAATAGTTTTTCATTCTCAGATGATGGGTTTTCGGAGAACGTGTGCATGAAGACCTCAACTGCAGAGATGTCAAATACAGGCCAAATTGACATTATGTTCGGGGTGCAGTGTTGTTACTGGTAACTGAAACTTGAGCTAAAACTAAACCTATTCTAAATATTTTTGTTACCTGAAATAAAGCTGAAAAAAGGGCAACTAACTGATAGGGTTGTGACGGTGAGGAAATTTTCCCACCGGTTAATCGACATGTGACAACACCGATAATACCGGTATCACCGTGGGGGCAGGGGCGTTCCCTCTTTTCCTCGCTTTCCTTCGCTTTTAAATAGCTTGCAAAAGCGGCGTGCACATTTTACTTTCACTTTCAAATAGCGGCAATTCGGCGTAAAGCAATTGTTCGTTAAAATTTTCCCTCTTTTCCTCGCCTTCCTTCGCTTTTAAATAGCTTAAAAGCGCCGTGCGCATTTTACGTTCACTTTCGAATTAGCGGCAATTCGGCGTCAATTGCTTGAATGCAACAACAAAATACAACGTCAAACTCACTTTAGCCTATATATAAAACATAGAACATTTATTAACAAAACGAATAAAAATACACCATGCTATAGGGCAGGCTATGCCTAATATAAAATAACAAATAACTTACATAAAGTTTAAATAGGTACAACACTGGAAATAAGTAAACGTATAATATATAACCAAATAAATAAGAAACGTAGAAAGTTTATTAGCAAAACGAATAAGAAAGCTTGGAGGCACGGCATACACCACTCTCCTCACTGGAGAAATGAAATCTGATCTGTGATGTGACTGTCATTCAGCACGCTACATTGAGCAGCTGCATTCAGTTTTTAAATGTAGTGTCTGTTCTTTTACTGAACTAAATGATTTTTATTACTATAAAAAATTCAAAACGACGGTGGGGGTCAGTGCTGCGGTGGGCAAGTGACGTAACCGGTGTTGCGGCTTAAGACTGGTATCACCGTCAGCACCGTCTATCGCGGCAAGCCTACTAACTGATAGAAAAAAGTGAAGTACTAAAATTACTAAAACAAAAACTGCAATAAAAATGAAAGCTAAATAGAAATATTTAACAAGCCTAAAAATTTGAAAAGTATATATATAACAAAATTACAAAAAAGTAAACAAAATAAAACCTGAAAATATAAAGCTTTTTATTAATAATACTCTGACCAATGAATGATACATAGGCCTCATCTGACTAAACTTGCAAAAACATCAATGTACTGCCAACAAAGTTTGGGGTTAAGTAAGTTTTTTTTTTTTAAAGAAATTAATACTTTTATTCAGCGGGATGCATTAAATTGATCAAAAGTGACATTTAAAATGTTACAAAAGATTTCTATTTTAAAATACATGCTGTTCTTTTGAACTTTCTATTCATCAAAGAAAAAAATGTATCACGGTTTCCACAAAAATATGAAGCAGTACAACTGTTTTCAATAATCAGAAATGTTACTTTAGCAGCAAATCAGCATATCAGAATGATTTCTGAAGGATCATGTGACACTGAAGACTGGAGTAATGATGCTGAAAATTCAGCAATAAATTACATTTTAAAATATATTCAAATAGAAAACAGAATATTATTTCAGAATATTAACGTTTTATTGTATTTTTGATCAAATAAATGCAGTCTTGGTGAGCAGAAGAG